GCGAGGCTAATATCTTCTTGCCAAAAAGCATGACAAGTTATACAGATGCATTTTTGTGAAGAGAAATATACAATTTATTGTTTACATTGCAAATTTTTACAAGTTATGCGTGCAGGATTGAAGCCACAAGTGTTATTTTTCATTTTACCCACGTTGTTATCAATGGGGTTCTAATCGTTTCCACTGATGTTGATCGCAACATAACGTTCAATATAACACTACAAAACACAAGCGAGGAATTAAATAACATTTTTTGTACTGGTATAATCTATTTCCATCGAGACAAGGATTTAACCAGCAATTCAGCCATCTTTCCAACAAAAAGAAGGACTTTGACTACAGTGAAAATAATACTCTTCTTCGTACGCTTAAAATTTGTTACAAGGCTGTCAGCCGCAGCAATATTTGGGCAGTTGAGCGCTATCCCAGCCGTATCTTGTTGAAGTCTCAAGTACTACAGAGTCAAAAGATATATTTGGATTTTACGAATGTTGTAGTGTGATGAAGTTATGTTCTTAGGATAAGCATGTGAATAGAAAGGTTTTCCCATGGTTTTTTTTTTTTTTACTTTGATATCAACCAGCGAATCGAGGTAAATATTTGGCGAAGTGTTTAAAAATTTCACAAGTTGTGGCCTCGAAACCTAGTTCAGAAAAAAATTAGATCAGTACTTACTATAATGAGTGACAGAGAGCGCATTTTCTAGTCCACATTAAAATTTACCAAACAACATTAAAATTTGTTTGTAAAATCAGATGGTTGTTTTGTACGCTGATATTCCTCCTAAATTTACAGAATAAAGTTAACGCACATATATGAGACATTCTGTTCTTTTTGTACATAGAAATCGTAAGACTGGTATGAGCCCACTTCAAAACACTTTGTTCATCTGAACAATTCCATTGTTTAGTTTTAACAGCCTTTATAGTATTCCTTGCAATGCCGTAATTATTGTGATTTTGCAATTTGGGCTTCAATGCGCCACACGAAGAAAGTCAAAAATATAATACTGCAATTAATTGAGGTCTACATTGAAATTCACTTAAATATTTAGGCAACATTTGGAATGAGTTGTTAAGATTCAGTGCATAATGAAAGGGGTTAGAAGGTTAGAAATTTCAAACATAATCCAAGAAGCTGCAATATATGTTCATAGGCAAAACTTACACCGAATTCGAACGCATCTCGAATATGACGAGCTCGGGATTTGCAAGTAGTCTTTTGATATAGCCATTCTTCTCAGATGATCAAGGTAAGATTAAATTTCTTTGTATTAATTTTTCAATTGAACTTCACTCTGAATGCACAGAAAATGAGATAGCATGGATCAAAGACTTGCGAACCTCGTGCTGTGGCTATTTCATAAAGTTGTTATCTAGAAACTCAGGTATATACGCGGTATCAAACGTTTGACGTTGCGCCGGAATTCCAATCTAGCGGAAAAGTTTTTCCTGAAGAGGGATAAGAAGTTTCTTTCCAAAATAAGATGATTTCAGGTTTGCGCGTAAACCTCTCCTTTCCAAATCGCAACATTACATAACTAAAGTATTATTTTCTCAATTATAAACAAAACAAAGTAATCAGAGAGCGCAACATACTACATCTCACATGAGCTTTTTATTCATATGTCTATTTATGCAATGGGATGATACTAATTTACTGTTAATAACCAGTCGAATGTTTCTCAGTGTAATGCCTGTTTATTTCTTAAAAATATTTCATAAGAGATAAATATATTTATATGTCGATTTATGTCTATTAATCAGCGAGGTCGTGATGCACCTACCGCCAAAACAATAAATTAATATACTTATATTGGGTAGTATACTTATATACTACTATATAGTATATACTATAATATAGTATAATACTTAGTATACTTATATACTACTCGCCTGATTGAGGTGTCATGACACCCTCTTTGATGTGTCCTTATTTTGCTTTCTTTAGCCTGAACATATATTCTCACATTATTATCTAACTCAATCAGTTTTCAAAGTCAGCTACCGTACATCGATCAATCTCTTTTAAAAAATGTCTTAACTCGGAGAAATATGTATACCGAAAGCTGCCACTCAAGCTGCATTAAGTGAGCACTCATTACTTCATTTTTGCATTACCAGTTGCCTAGAATTTTGTTCGTTAACTTGCAATGTGTACTCAAAATTCAGTTCTTTGCTAGGAACTTTTTTTCTGAAAGCGGCAGGAATCTAGTCGCAAAATAAATTCGTTCGGGGGTATCCATGGGATTGCTCCCTTGATTTATTTAATTTTATTCCCAATTTGATTCTACCAAAATACAAAGTCTTTTGATTGCTACAAAATACCAATAATATTCTACAAAAGTACGAGATGTAGGTGAAATCATACGTTGAAAGGCAATTGCAGGTCTACAAGTTAATGTTTTACGCCGGTCAGCAACATTGATTGGTAAACTAAATTTAAAAGTTATTTTATACATTATCCGTCCTGATTAAAAAAGTCAAGTTTTGTATTTTCTTCTTCTGTCCTATGTATTTATTTATATCAATTCATCAGAGACCTTTACTCTGATTTTTGGTAGGTATCGTAGCGTCCGTAGCGTGTCAGGCTCTCCTTGGATGCCTCGTGTTAAGAGGTTCCGGCAAAAAGCAGTACAGAGATGGTTACAATAAAACACTGGTAATTTAATATTAAAATGGGAGGCAAGTGCACATCACACGTTAATAAAAGAACAGCATTTAACAAAAGAACAGCATTTTGTTGTGATTGTAAGGTGTTTATTTAGGCAGGTGTCGTGCTCAATCATGTCTAACAAGGAGACAGTCGCTCTAGGCGATGGTGATAAGTTTCATTTGCATGTTTAGCCCTCGCACTAACCTCGGCTGAAATAAACAAACTTGCTACCACACTATGTTATTCCAGTCTTATCGTCAAGCAATATCGTGCCTTTAAATACTCAACGACTTTTAATCCCTATTACCTACTTCGTGCAATCTATGTTTAATATTATAATATTAAAAGATGTGTCAGCATTATCCAAGCAAAGATATGAAGTCAGCATTATCCACGCTTTATTCATGCATAACGCAAAGTTTTCGCAAGTTCGCTGCCATTAAAGTACCGACACATATTTAAACTTCATTGAAATAATTTAAAGATTGCTTAAATTCCACTGCAATATAGAGTCAGGTCTATTATATTGGGAATGTTATAGGGAGTCAATTTCCGTTTATCTATGTGCGAGATGTTTACTTGTGTTCATGAGGATAGAATGGCAGAATTCTTAATGCAACGAACAAAAATTTTCTAGAGCTAACATTTATTGGAAGCAATTATTTGTTTTAAAAAATCAAAAAAAACTTCATTGTTCATCCATAAAGAAACGAACTTTTACAGAGTATATGTTTTTATTGCCAAATTGTTTCGATATATGCTGTTGTTTTGCTGATTCTGTTCTTAGATATTGATCCTTCCACATTTATCAGAGAATTTTTATATCGTGTAGATCAAATACCGCTCAGTGAGATAGTGGAATAAACATTCATACAATTATTACTAAATTGTAAGTAAAATTACTTTCCTACCAACCAAATATCGCAAATTATTTTGTATGTTCTTCCCTAATATTTTCACGAAGTAGGAATTTGAACAGAAATATTCTGAAAACAGCGTCAAATTTTTGAGCTAGTTTATGCAAATCTGAAGCTTGGTCCTGACATACGTACATAAATAAATAAAATGGTCACTGCGAACCACTCTGATAATTTTTTAAACTTTTGTATGTAGAAGAAATGACATAAAATTATAATTATTCCGAAATATTTAAGAACATCCACACACATCGTAAATTATTTTACATGCTAATTACTGATACCGTTAGTCAGCTTAAATCACACATTGGTTGATAATTTAAAAGCAAACAAAACGGCAAGTAAATCCCCGTATCATCATTGAAAAAAATTTCATTGAAACTTCACTATTAGTTTTCAAAGAATATTTGATTAATTTTGACAGAAATATGGCGAATCTACTATGTATTTTCTTTGCTTCCATGTTCTAGATGGAATGTCCACAATCTAAATGTCCACGTTTGAGAAAGCATCAGTTGTTATGCTTTGTTATGCTTCATTTAGCATAAAAACAAAGAATGACTAAGATAAATAAAATATGTTCCTCCAAAAATTTGTATTGTGAACAAACCACGACAAGGATTGCATATATAATTCCTTAAATTTTATCATCCGCGGCGCATGCAAAAATTAAATTTTTCATACGACTAATTTTGTTCAATACAATTCTACTTATATATTCCAAAGAATTTTTCAGGTAATAGTCACGCTATAAATTACTGATTTTTACCTAATATCTTCATTGATTGACATAATGGATGACAAATTCATTATCACTTAATGGCAGTATGATTAGGCTTACATCCTCATTAAGTATGTGTTTTACCTTCGGTCACATTACGGCTTAAATCGATTAAAAACAGAATCATATCATAACCCCTTTCTGGCATTCCGCGGATAAACAAGGGTATTAGAATTTATCTTGGCTTTTAATACCACACCAGCGTCGGTTGTTTCAAAGCCGAGCCTGAGGTTTAGATTGCGGGCTATTGAAACTCGATGGCAATGTCAACGCTAGTAAAGTTGCATCCTATCCACGAATAAAAAAGGTTTTGTCTTCGCTTCATGTCATCATGTTTCCTGCATCCAAGCAAACGAATAGCCAAAAATGAATAATGAAGCATTTATCTCAGGAATGAATGGTTGATGAAGTAGGCTGACTTGCAAACACAGGCAGCATGAGTGTGTGACGTCAAACTCTTTACTAGGCAACACTTTTAGCCAATTTTCCATTGAGAAAACCGTTTGATTTCTTTTCCTACCCGAAATTTGAAGCTATCTTGATATTCCTGAATACATGCAAATTGTTTGCATTGAGTTTTACGCGTCAATGAAGTGTTTTTTTGTGCGCCATGGTTTTGGTTGCCCATGATTCATCAATCGACTATAAAAAGACGTGGGGAGATTGCAGGTCACTGCATTCATAATCCTGAGGTTTGTACGCTGGTATGTATTTTGTGTGTGGAAGGATATAGTTGATATCAAAACTTTTATAAGAATAACCGAGTTGCTATTATGTTCTGAATATTTAAGAGAATGATATACAATAATTTAGCAGGTTATTGATGCTATAATCCTTCGATATTCTATTCTCCTTTGGCCGGGAGGAGTCAAATTAAATTTTAGTTTTTTATTGATGCACTCATTTTAATCTTTGTAATTTTATATTAGTATTGATTTATATGTATTCTTTGGGTTCTGCTGATAATTTTTCTGAACAGGAGATTAGAATTAATTTCTTTCCATCAATAATGTGATGAGACTTGGACTTGAATAAATTAATGATGAATAATTCTCTAGAAATTTGGACGACTTTTGTCCAAATAGTTAATGATGAAAATTAGTGAGTTTTTTCCTTATTAAAAACAAGATTTTTTTATTAGGATGTATGAAATTTATTTAATTTGTAATCAGACTGTAGACTCTACCGAAATTTAATGAAGGATTAAAAAATAGCAACAAATTAAAAAGATTATCATGACGTCACCAACTATTTAATTCTTTGAACGAAAGAAAATTACTTGAAATTCGAATCACCGTTAATCTTTTATAATTAATTATAGAAATATCAATTCCAGACATCAAGAAGTTATGGCTCGATCTTCATTTCTCGTTCTCATGCTGGCTCTGGCCGGCGCTAATGCCGCTATTTTGTGAGTACCAAATCAACAACCAATCTTTTAAACCGCAAAAGTTTTCTACATTTTACATCATGAGGCCATGAAAACTTTTCTAACGTCTCTTCAGAAAACAATTTATTTCCTATAACAGTAAATGTTGATTTTTTTGCCATACATTCGTTTTCATATGTTTCGAAGAGATTAAAATTCAATTTTCAATTCTATTGTTTTCTACATTTTACATCATGAGGTCATGAAAACTTTCCTAATGTCTCTTCAGAAGACAATTTATTTCCTATAACAGTAAATGTTGATTTTTTTTGCCATACATTCGTTTTCATATGTTTCGAAGAGATTAAAATTCAATTTTCAATTCTATTGTTGTATCAATTGCATGGTTTTATTTTACGATATTTTAATTGAAAAATTTGTTGACATTCTGTTATTAGCTTTGACGATGTTGATTGCATTCAATAAGGGTGCTACAGAATATAAGTAAATTGACATTAATATCGTACTCTACCATTGAAATAAAATAGTACCAATGAAAAAATCGTGAATTCATTCCTGAATTATTGATTTGTTTCCATGGCATTTATAATTCATTACTTCATGAAAAATGCCTGATGTGAATCATCATCAATGCCTATGTAAACTGCTCAATCAATTTTTATCCTAAATAAGTAAACGGAAATAAGTTGCATATAATTTCTATTACCTGAATTGAGTCTAACTTTCATTACACCGAATAATAATGAGACAAATATGGCGAATCTATTAAGTTTATTCAAAAGAGATTTTTCTTCCTCGAGCTAATACTAAATTGAAATTATTTGATTTTAATATTCTAGTGACCTAATTTTTTCCACTTGCCGTTCCTCCGATGTAATCACTGCCCATGTCACTTCCCTCCGTTATAATCACTGCCTGCTTCACTTCCCTCCGCTGTAATCACTGCCCATGTCACTTCCCTCCGTTATAATCACTGCATGTTTCACTTTCCTCCGCTGTAATCACCGCCTGTGTCACTACCTACATATGTTATCACTCCTTAGACATCTGACTTTAGATAAACATGAAACCTAATGTTTTAGTTCAATTAACGTTAGTTAATCGTTTTTTAACCGTTATTTGCTTGTAGGATTATGTCACTTCCCTCCGATGTAATCACTGCCTGTGTCACTTCCCTCCGATGTAATCACTGCCTATGTCACTACCCTCCGATGTAATCACTGCCTGTGTCACTTCCAACATATGTTATCATTTCACCAGACATCTAACTTTAAATTAACATTAGACCTAATGTTTTCGTTCGATAACGTTAATTAATCGTTTTTTAACCGTTATTTGCTTGTAGGACTTATTATATGTATTGATTTATTGCAGCTCCGCGTGCTCCCGTGCCCTGGGCCCGACCATGAGTGAAGGCTTGGAGTTCCAGAAGGCGCAGTTGTCCTGTTACATGAAGGAGATTCAAGACCAAGCCACCACTACTTTTGTCAACAGTGAGTTAATATAAATTTGTTCAGAAGACAGTCACACTAATGTTCGAAATATTCAGCAACAAGCTGCCACTTTGTAAGAATTTTTTAAGCTTAACTAAATTCATAGACTATGCTAAGAATATTCCACCTATAATTTGTTAACCGTATATAATCGGTTGCATCATTATTGAGTCGTGAATTTCCTGTCTCTGAAAACAGTGATAATATTTCAATGATAGGAACTGTGATAATAATTTTAATGATGTGAACGGTGTTTGTGACTTTGATTTTAAATTATAGTGAATAATGATTTTAACGTTAATAATTACTTTAATGATTTATTAGAATCAAAGAAACAGGAAATCAACATGTATGGGTTACATTACTGCAATTGATCCGTACAGCGCAAGCAGATGAATTTAACTATCACTCAAAATATGCTAGCCATCGAGAAGCCCTAATTTAAGGACCATAAATTGATAACAATTGCCCCCAAAATTATAACTTAACTAATATTATTCAATTTATTCAATTCAGCTATGCTGACAGTTTCAGGTCCATTAGTTACAGTAACCAAAGAATTAAAGCGATCTGCTCATAAGTTTATCAAGAATTTTAAAGCAAAGAAAACTTCAAGTAAATTATACATATTATGTATATAATATAGAATATAATATGTACAATATAATATATAATATTAAACATATTATGTATAATGTAATATAATAATATCTTTGTTCGTTTCGGCCAGTGTTCCTTCCCAAGCCTCTGCAACTCAACCCAGACGGTGGCTTCTTCGGAGACATGCCCTCGGGCTTCGAGGGCACTTCCCTCTGGGAGACGCTGAAGGATCCCTCGCAGTTCTTTGAGAACATGAACGTTATTCCCGATGCCAAGGATCTTCGCAAATGTGTTGCTGATAAACTTGGATTGATTGTGAGAGGATTAGATTCCTGAGGAATTGAATATTCTACAGAAATTTATTTAAATTTAATTTGATTACTTATTTTGTATATTTTAATCATGATGTATTTTTAATATGAGTTGGACTCATTGTTTGTAGTTTTATCATTTTCTGCTACACTCATCTCTGAAATATGTGACAATGTTCTGTGGGAATTCGTAGGAATTCCCACAACGTGGAAATTCTGTTTGTCATGACAACGTGTCACAGAATTCTCACCTTAACTATTCCAAATTGAATCGATTCAAGTTTGTCGAAGAAAAAATTTAATTAGCTCAACAATTACTAACTTGTTTTTCAGGGCTTTTCTTTCTTGGGATTCTCAACCTTTGACGACCAAAAACTCCGGGATCAAATTTTGGCAAAGGTTAAAGGCACCGATCTCGAGGCCAACGTCAAGAAAGGAATCAGCAACTGCGGCAAAGTTTCGGACTTCAAGGCGAGTTTCAAGTTTTAGAATTAACACAGTTTTAGATTAAGTTAATTATGAAGTAAGTCCGAAACGAATGAAATTAATTTGTAGACAATAGTCCCTCTGGTAGTGTGATTAATCTAATTTAACGTTCGTCTCTCCACTAACAACGATTCTCGCGTTCAATGGACGTTCTGTTTTAGAGGCGACCTGCAGATAATGTCGTGGAAGAAAGTTTTTTGCATTGAGCACCTACCATATTACGTTATTAGGATTTTTATTCGGTAGAGTCTCTACTGTACGGCAAAATTGTTTGAATTTACAAAAATGTATGTAAAGTTTGTCTGGAGTAGTAGCGAGCTGACAGCTTTAAGATCTAAAAGTTAGAAAAATCATTCGGATCCATAACTGAACAAATTACTCTTTCATCTCTTCTTTTATCGCTATAATTGCGTTGAAATGTTTAAATAGATTTACTTATTCAGTGTAACTATTGCTGGCATTTATCTACCTATACTACTGGCATGGCTGCGGCAGACTATGCCTAAAAAGCAAGTCTTGCACAACTATATAGCGCTTTGGGGCTGCAGTTTGGAATGCGGAACATGATTTAGGGTTTCCATTCCACGAACACTGATTGGATCCAACAGCAGAATTATTATGTAATTGATTCATATAATTTCTCTAGTCGAGCCCGGCAATTTTGTCTCTATTTTTTATGTATAAATTAACCACTGCAATATATGCTTGTTGATTATTCTTATAAAATTACACGCGTTTTGCTATAATTTCGAAAATCGTTTGTTTCTATGCACTATTCAATATTAATACCATTGTTATTATTTAAACAAAGTCCAGGAAAATGTATAGGATTCTCACGGGATAAATTCTTATTAAAACTGGTCTCTCTCTTGTATGTACAATCAAAATTAGTTATGCGTGACGGAAATATTGTTAACTAGAAATCAAAGTATCCCTGGTACTTTACGTAATTCCTTCACAAATCCATCCTATTATACAAGAAATTCAGTATTCCAATACATAAAAATTATTCATTTCCGGTGGTTATAGAACGAGCGTTAAGCATGATTTCGTTTTCTATTTGAAAATTTTGTGAATATGGCAACAGCTCAAACCTACGACTGTTAATATTTTGTAAATTTATAGAAATTAAAATTATATGTATATTTAAATTATAGGTAAATTTAATTGATAAATATTGCCATTAAATTTAAAAGTCTGTTACTCACATGTGAGCTTCTAATGATCTCGTAAGAAATGCTTTAGCCGAAAACCTCGGAATATGAATACAGTAGGAAATTTTACTCAATGTAAAAAGTCAATGAAATCTTCTTGAAATAACTGAATTGGGACGAAAAATTCTATCAAAGCAATTGACATGATTTAATAATAACAACAATTATTCATACATCACAATTATAGGTAATTAATTTGGCACCTATTTCCATGCTTTAACCTTTAAAAGGTATTATAGTGACAAATTTTCTCTGAACTGAACTCAAAATTTTACATAATAAATAAATTATAACAAACACTCCATCTCCTTTTGTGTCTGTGTGGCACATCATGAGGGCTGACGAGCGTGTGCAGAGAAGAATTTACTAATTCACACATCTTTAAATGTTCAAAATTCAAAATGTAACAATAAATTTTTTCATTTTTTTTCAGGTGTCCGAGTACATGGACTGCATCACAAGCTACTGCGAGACTGGGGAGGCTCCTCACTAAAAAATAATTAATTGAGTCAAAATGATTGTGATGACTCATTGTTGAAATCCAAATAGAAATGCAAAAATAAACCATTGTCTTTCATTCCTTCAAGACTGGTTTTCCTTTTTACGTCGTGTACGTCTTTCCGCGTGTACCAGAGAATTGGAATGCATTTGAAGTAGATCCTAAAAAACATGTCGAATTTGTATTGGTAAACAAGAAGAATTTGCAAATACGCAATTTCTGTAAGTAAAACTGTGTCCAAAATTCATTTGTTCTCTCAAAGTTAAGAAATTTAAGCCTTTTATGTGAATGATAAACATACCAATTTTTGAATTCCTACTAGAGGTCCAATTTCTCGTAAATCAATATAGTCCTTTCTGCGATCAAGGTCTTCCGATGCTGTCATTGAATATATACGTTCCAAAGTAGACTGCGGTTCACCTTTAAAATAACACACATAACGACAAAAATTTCCATGCGTTATAATATGAAAAAATTTCCATGCGTTATATAAAATGTCCAGTGCTCTTTATTACGATTTATTTCAATGTTTATTGAATGAGCGCATACAATATTTAATAAGGGTAAGACTATATTGTATAAACCATGGTCAGTAATCCTGTCATAAAAGATAGAATTCAATGAAACAAGAAAAATATCTTCGCATATCAATACAAATTGCATTTAAAATGCTCACCTACAGCCAATTTTTCGTCCCAATGCTTGGTTCTGCTCGCTGCGAATATTATACCGCTCTTTCGTTCATGTTCGTATTTAAATCTCAATTAAAAAATATCGTTGACATGGAACAAACATGCATGCGCCTCGAATGCTGCACTGCGTTTCAAAGGAATTAAATTCTGAGACTGAAACTAATTTTGACACAAAATAAAAGTATTTAATTACTATAGGATAAGTACTAATTAATATATATGTAGCGATTTGAGAAACAATAAATCATGGCCTTTACTGTTTTTGGAAGGGATAGGGAATTTCATAATTACGCCTGGTAATAAGTAGAATAATGTTAATTATTAATGTTATGAATGATCGAAATTGCATTGAAACTAATTTAAATGATCATTGATATCTCTCAATGTCATTAATATAATTTACGCGATTTTCAATCTTCGAAATTTCGTATACGATGAAGCAATGACTCCTGGAACTCACATTTTTGATTCTAATCAGTTGTAACCGTATAGACTATAAGAGTAGGTCTAGTTTTGAGCTTCAATATGAAAAGGGTTATTTTCGCACAGTTTGCAAATTAACCGTAATTTTTTTTAACTGTAACGGCAATAACTTCAAAGTATGAATAAGAACTAATAATAAACTTATTTGAAAATACTATATATCACAGTTTTTTCCTGCCCATGACTGCCAGAAAAGATTCAACTGAAGGACGTGATTTTTCCCCGTTTGCTCAGTTATACAGATGTGAAGATGGCCTTCAATGCTTGGGTGCAATAGGCACAATTAAAGCTATTTGGAGACGTCATGGCTTAAAGTTGCACTTACAGAACCGTCATTACACTGAATAAAAAAAAGGCTTTAAAATCACAACGTTGCTCTTAAGACGTTTACTATCTTACAGCGGCTAATTGGCCTTGCTGCATTGTCTAGAAGGTTCTGCAATTTTCTTTATCGAAAATAGTATCGTACATATACATAGGTTTGGGAACAACAATTTAGAATTTCGGTTATTTCTGTTAAAAATTTTTAAATGATATATTTCAGATTTGAAGGTATTAAAATCACTTGTTTGCTTGAATCGCAAGTTAACCAGGAATTTAAAAGCAAAGAAAATACCACAAAAATGAGTTGTAAAAAAAAGGTATCATAAGTTTCCATCAAACCAAGTCACAACAATATTTATTTTTAGCCTCGATATATAAGTTCCATCTGACACAACTCACTCTCCGTTGGCACGCTAATTGGAAATGCACCACAGATGCCTTTCTACCTTCCGAAGGTCCATGGCTGATCTAATGAAAATAACCGGCAAGCTTTTGCTTGTTGAAGCAACTGCAGTTACTTACATCAAGGTTACAATAACAGGGTAAACGCAATGTAAAATACGAGGGGAAGAAGCGGTGCAATGCACTTTCCGAAATATGTTTGAATTCGTTCCATTTCAGCGGTCGTGCCATGTTAACGTTTTCATTGGTTGGAATTTGTTCGAAATTTCGGTGGAAAATGCGAATTAAAAAATATAACTCAGTACTCATGCAGTGAGTGACAGAGAGCGCATTTTCTCGTCCACGAAAACATGAAGTCACGGACGGACAGACAGACGGACAGACGGACGGACGGACGGACAGACGGACATGGGGAGCACAATTTTCATAAATGCGCTAAATGCGCTAAAAAGTGTTTTGGGAGGCTTTAGCTAAAAATTTAGATTATGTTTGCTGCAGTTTGGAGGTAGAGGGAACTAGGCTATAATCAATGAATATCTCGAACTTAATAATCGCATCCTGGTGTTGTAATTGACGAAGATAATTTATGTGGAAGACGGACGAGAAAGCTAGCATATTTGTTAAAGGGTTATTCTTAAAAAGTTTGATAACGTGTGCTGATACGGGGAAAAATTGGTTAAAAATAATTATTTATTATGAAATCAATGTTTTCTCCTGTTCTCACATTAATGATGCACAATAAGGAAAAATGGCGCCTCATTGAAAATTACTCAATTTGTGAGGTTGGGCATAGTTTATGTTCCTGTTGTTTGTTTTGAGGTTAAGAGCTTTCATGTTGTTTTTAACAGGTTGCGTAAAGCTGTCATGTTCTGTCATCTGCTTTGAGATTGTGAAATTTTATTTTATTTTTGTTGTAAGGCTGTGCAGCTTTAATATTCCTGTCTTATGTTGTAAGTTTGGGCAGTTTTAATGTTTGTGTCTTCTGCATTGAAGTTGACGAGTTTTAATGCATGTGTCTTCAATGCTTGTGTTTCAAATAGTGCAGCTTCAGTATTTCTTTTTTTTTTGTAAGGAATTTCTAAATTTTTAATCTTTAAGCCTTTTGATTTACGGTTACACAGTTTAATATTTGTGTTTTCTTCTGTAAGGACATGAAGTTTCACACGGATTTTTCCAGATGAGTACTTCCCAGTAACATAACAGTTAGTCGAGTTTTATGTCATTAGGGCAATATGGGGCATTGCCCCCCCTTTTTTAAACTAAAATTTTGATGAAGTTTTAATTGATACGAGGTGGTTCTTTGTTTTGTTTAAAGGTACTACTAATGAGCGATGTACATATGATGTGAATTATACGCCTATAGAGTTATTCAATTTTTAATGAAACACTATTTTGTAATAAGTGTCAAAATGGGCCCATTGCCCCACCCCTGGGGCAATGGGCCCATGGGCTTGGGGCAAGGCGCCCACCCTTGATCCCTTTGCCACAATTGCATATTTTTCGTTTCAAAAATGATAAAACAACACTTTACAGTTAAAAATAAGAAAAACATAATAAAAAATATGACAATTATTCATTTATTAACAACTCAAAAAATCATTACATTAACTTGAAAAAATATACTCTTGGCTTAAAAAAATCTATCACTGACGTGAAGAAAAATATTTCATTGTCATAAAAATATATATCCTTGACTTGAAAAATATATCCTTGCGATAAAAAAAATTCGTCCTTGACATGAAAAAATTTATCCTTGACTAGAAAAAATATATTTAGTTGATCAGAAAAAAACTTCGTTCCAGTTTTGTCTATAATTTAGATATTATGCGCAGAGAATTCGTACCTAATCGTGATTTCAGCCAACACCATAAAAACTCATCAACTTTTGGTTCATTGGTGTTGACTGAAATCAACTTTTGGCAAGACAAGAGTCAATAACTCGATAAGGGGTCATAAATACGCATAATTAGAAACGAAACCTGCAGCCTTGAGGCGGCAAATCAAAAAATCATGCAATATGAAGTGTAATTTGTAATTCAAAAAGCTAGTCATAGTTTTGAAAAGGTCATTGAGACAAATCTAATGATGTATAACTCAAGACTTCACCATGGGCTCTTTGCCCCGTGACACGCGTAGGCCCGTTGCCCCACTAGGTATCATTTCAATTTATATCGCGTCATCGCGTAATTTTTATTGATTTTATTTTAAAAGCTAATAGACTAAACTTGATCTCAAAATTATCCCTACAAATATTACTTTCAAAATATAATTCGCAGTAATTTCAAAAGCTTCATCTACAGTAATCGAAAACAGTTTTATTTAGCGAAAAAAACTTTCATCTGGGCTAAAACAGTTATTCACAAATAACTTAATAACGCAAACACTTAGCAAAACGTAAATCCGTACACTTCATCCCAGTGAAACTGTCGACCGGCGGTAGAGAACACGGACCAATATCTGCCATACTTAGCGAGAAACCCGTTATGGGCCCATGACCCGCAGTGGGCTCGCTGCCCCATGTTACCCTATATATGTTTACTTATATTTCGTCTTAATTACTATAAGCGATTTTTTCCATGACTCATCCAAGCTTTAATATTGTGGTACCTCATTTATGGTAAGTATGGTACTGTGCAAATTTTGACACAAAATTCATCAATTCCATATGTTGTTGCGAATTTCAAGTTCGTGGTAATTTTTATTGATTAATTATTTTTCCACCCGCAGTAACAATATCCTCAAAATTTTCATAACTGGTGAGGAAATAACACAAAATGTATGAAGTACATTCGTTCCCTAGACCACTAGTTTGGGGAGATCATTTCACATAGTCTTCATCCTCTTGTCCATAAACAGATACTCTTTACAACTCTTCTACAAGTGAACTGATTGATGGCCTCAAGGTCTTCCGAATGAATGACTTCATATCCCAGTATTCGCTCGATGTTTTCTGAAGTCTCCTATTCTATTTTCTGCCAATTGTGATACCATTTGAGCTACACATGGCGCGAGCAGTTTTCCTCTTCTGCACAGAATTTTTCAATAGGTCATCACCGAAGTTAGCGACAACTTGTCCGCGCACCTGTTACAAGGTGACTGATTTGCCTTATAAAAGAGATGCTTGTTGCTGCAGTGGCACTTACCAACACTGGCCACTGAAACAACAACTGCTTCTTGCTCGTTCATTGTAAAGTAAGTTGAATAAAAATTAATAACTGATACCGAGATTCAGAGAACATTTAAAATGCTAGAATTGGTACAGCATGGACTCAATTTACTGTGAAAAAGAAATTTAATTTCCGGGCTATCGCGCATTAGATTTTTTTTCTTAATTAAGCACATATAGATTCATATGTTCAAAAATTTTCAATGGTAACGCTGGAGAATTGTTAATTATAAATACAATATTTTGAGTAAATCTTACTTTTTAAACAACGGATCCTGCTCAATGTAGTGTCTCGGAACTCCTTGCACGACAGCGATCAGCTTTTTCAAAATTAATGCATAATTTGTTGGCACATTTATGGTGTCATATTCATTGACCTAGTTCTGCGCCCTACTAATCGTTCAATTAGTATTGATATATTTTAATTAATTGACTTTACTTCCTCCAGACAGCGATCATGTCCCGACTTTCTCTCGTCGTTTTGGCAATCGTGCTCACTGGAGCCTCCGCAGGATTGTTGTAAGTTAAATATTGGTATGATATTGAACTAAATTACACGGTGTGGAGATGACATAATTTTGCCTTTATTATTGAACATCGTGTATTATTTGGTACTCACTCTAGTTATTCAACACTTATTGCATTTCTCTATCAATCTCATCACAAATCATCTAATTTCCTGAACCATGATATGTCAATCTTGATGTTATAAATAATATTTCTGTTCAAATACTTTTTCTGTAATTTAACTGAAATATATTATATGCGTTATTAACACTTTTTCTCTGCAGTGAAAGTTTGCAGCTCGACTTCAAATGTCGTCAAGCTCTCGCACCGACGTCCGAGGCTCTGTCAGTGTACGGCTCGGCTCTCATTGAGTGCATCCAGAAGCCTGAAATTCCGCTGTCTTTCCTCTGGGCATTCATCCGTAAATATTAATCTTTTTTAATTAATTAATTAATTTTTTTATTAATCCTTTAATTATAATTAAAGGACCAATATTAATAATTGATTTTAAAATAACAGGGATATGATTATTGATTAGCCGAAGTACAGATGTTAATTATTAATTAATGACTATGAAATATCAAGGAAATGATCAATGATTAATTTAAGAGCCGATGTTAATCATTCATGAACATTAAAGAATACGGAAGATTTCACGTAATATTCGCTGAAAAAGACCTTTAATGTTCACTCAATGAGATAAATATTCATTTCGATAATACTATAATAGAATAGAATAGAACGGAATAGAACAGAAGTGGCACTGAAGAAATCGGCCCATGGCCTGTTGCCGAGTCTTGTACTTTTCGTGACTTGATTCACAAGGGATCCGGCCTTTTAAACCCGACCTCTCCATAACTGACGATTGATTGAGATAGCTGCTGAACTTAGTGGCTGGTCCGTAAGGTGCTAGGCATTTTAAGACTGAACATATGCATCTGCATTGCTTCGTCTAGTCTGTTCTTGAAGGCGTTCATACTCGGAGCGGCAACGATGCTATCAGGGAGGCTGTTCAACATATGTCGGTGACTCGAAGCGAGAAGAAATGTTTTCTGCTGTTTTATGTTAGTTATTTCTATTTATGCTAAAAATTATTTCTTTTCTGCACGAAAATTATTTCCCATTAGCCAGACAATGATTTCCTTTTATCCAGAACTTTATTTCGATTGAGATTGGAAATTATGTCAGTTAACCATTTGAAACATTTTGTTGAGATGTGCAGAGCAGCCCCAGAACTACATGCCCACTACGGATAACCTGATCAGGCTGGTCTACCAGATCATCGTCAACAGAGCCAAGAGCGATGCTGTGTCCACAGTCAACGAGTATCTTGGAGTAACCGATGAAATCTACGCGCTGAGGAAGTGCATGGCCGGAGTCGGAAATTTCGTAAGTATTTCAAATCGGAACCAAATATACACTATAAGGTGTTACAGTCAAGTATTCACGAAGGATCATAATGTTTTCCAGTGGGCCTATACTTTCAAAAAAAGTTAAGACATCGTATGTTTATCAGCCAATCGTTGACGGCCTTCCAAGCAAAATCCACCAATCATAGACAAGAAATTAGAGCGTAAGTACTTACGTTTACTTAGCGAGATTTGAAGGTATAGGCCCAGATAAGTCAAGTATTCATGAAATGGAAAGGTATCAGACTCGTATGTGTGCCTCTGACGGACTTTTCTTGCGCAAAAATGACAGTGTTCAAATTTATTCATCGTAGTTCAAATAAAATGAATTGTTCTTAACTCATTACAACTTCAACAAGATCTAACACTATAATTTAAGAAATTAAAAGGTGCATTTAATGCTGTGAACAGTTGCAACAATGCCAATTTTCATTTTGATAAGAAGCTAAAAAAAATTGCAAATCGGAAATTTTTAGTCCAAGGAATTCCAAATGAGATAAGGCTCTGAATTTTAATTATTACTTGCTTAGAAAAACTAGGTTTTATGTAACTATAAAATTTGCGTCTCCTAATTGCGGGCGATTTTTTCCATTTGTTTCAGTCGAAGGCTGACGGAAGTTTCGACACCTCGATCCTGAGTGCAAGTCTCCTCTCCCAAGTGGCCGGCACGGATTTAGAAGCCAACGTGCAGAAAGGTATCGCTGGCTGCGGCCAAGTTACGGACTTCAAGGTGCGTTTCTAACACAGAGATAAGTAAATATTTTCCTGGAGTTCGAACCTAGTGCGTGGTGTAATCGGCATTTCTGGTTATAAACAGAAAAATTTAATAAATAATAATAATAGAAAAATTCTGTATGTTGCTGTAAATAGAAAAATAATGTTTATCCCTGAGTTGAATTCAAGGTAAAAGTTTGTTTTTTAAGCGCTTTACAGTTAATTTCCCAAGAGGCGTTCTGGTAAAAGCTTCAGTGTTTTTGAATGCAGTTAGGCCGGCATGAGTTTTTAAATATTGCAATGCTGTAACATCAATATTTCTACACGCGCAGGTGTACCTGTACCTGAACTGCATCCAGGACTACTGCGCTGGACGCAAATAAGTTCAGTCTCCCTTGAGCAACACTCGGCCTTTGGACGCATGTGAAGATTGATAAAATGAACACGCCGAGTAAAGAAACGAAAGAGCATGCATGATTTTGTATTCCTTCTACGAATAAATAGTATTAACCGTACGAATATGCAAACTACGTTTCGAAATTCTACGTAAATTAATATGAACGTGTCAATAAGTAGACAGGAAATTTTAGTATGATTCTATTAAGGATCGTTATTTATTTGTGTTCAAATGCACGAGTACTTTTTAAAACACCAACTCTGAAAATTCGCGGTAAATAAATTGTTATATATGCTCATATATGCTGTTTTTCAACATTATTTTACATTGGATCCAACTTTTGAACATATTTGTGGCCGGAACAAGAACAGATAATTGTGAAACGCCGAAGCCGCTCAAAGGGCAAACAAGGATCAGTGCGATGTTGTGATCATAACAAACGGTGTGGCAAAGCCAGCCGACTTGAACTCTGATGCAATTTATGAGCGAATTATGCGGCCAGGAGCCAAAAGATGCCTTTAGTTCCTTCGCTTAGCTGAGTTTGAAGGAGCAACTTACGACAGCAGGCCACCTCGAGGTAAGTTCTTCTATTTGAAAGTTGTTATGAGCTCGATTTTATTATTGAATTTTGTGGCCCTATAATTTTGAGAGGCATAAATACGAAATTGATTTGCCAAAAAGTTTTTGCAACTGCCATGTGTTGCTTTAAAGAGATGCAACATTGCTCACGATTTTATTGCCAGTAAAAAAATTCACCTGGAGTATTTAAAAGTTATATCCCTATGTTTGAAATATGATTGAAGGAGAAAATTTCATGAATCGAAAATCTATTATTTCAAGAAATTTTACACACCAAATAATTTCACGGGACAGCTGGCAGTCTTCGTATTTTTCGCTCAAGTTTTCAATTCACTTTAGACCTCTCCTGAATAGGCGCAAAAGAGAGCTGCTTTCTATACTTTCTGGAATTCATGGCTGTCGACCGAAGGTCAAACCTTCATCTCATCTATGGACGTGACCGCAAGTTGCGGACGTCACCATCATACAATTGCCAAAAATTTTCGAAAGTTATTACGTCTCAGGCTCCTTTGCATTTTTGCGAGCATGCTTAGCATTCAGCGAGAATAAGCGAATGTCAATTTAACATTTTCGTCATCAATAATGCAGGGAATGTACAATAATTAGAACAACATCAATAATATAATTGCTATGCCGCTTGTTTTTTTACCTGAACTCTACGTCATTGGCTTTGTAAAGTCGTGAAGTAGCATATCAGGAATAAATGGAAAACGTATACTCAGATGAAAGGCACTCGTTGGTCGTAGTTTGCAAACTGCGACGATTTATTCGCGGCAGATGGCGAGTCTCAAATTCCAAACAATCCATTAAATTCAATGACGGTAATAACAATTCTGCTTCAGGAAGAGAGGGCGATAAAAGGTGAAGAAGAGGGAGCAGGGAAGCGGTGGGGAAGTGACGGTGATTTTGATTCTGACGCGGTTTATACAGACCCTATTATTCAGAGGTATAAACTGCTAGAAAATACGTTAAAAATGCAGGGAAGTTCAAGGTGCTCGAGATATAAGAGCAAAGCTACAGCTAGGGGAATTGGTCGTCTTTGCGCAAGACGAGGCTTGAAATCGTGACTCAAAGTTTCGTTTAACATCAAGTCTTTGCATTTCATTTTTAAGCTTATCCTCTTAGTCTATGAAACAAAATCTGGAATTTCGGCTGCAATGAGTGAAAATATTGCCAAAACAACATGAGATTTATCTTCCTCTCTATTACGAATGATGATGAATCTCATGTTAATTTATTCATAGGTCTCAGAATTGAAACGTCGTTTGAAGTGTAAGTTACCAGAAGTTTTCTTTCGTACGATTGCGCTGGGTCGTTTAGCTGATGAAATGAAGCCTCTGTCTGAACGGTGAGCAGTTGATGCAATACAGGCTAACCAAGTCCACGTTTTTACCTCAAGCGTCTCTCATGACAAGAACATTTGCATTCAAGGCAGCATTTTCTAACGCGGCAAACGCCTGGGTGTAATTTTTCGGATCATACATTAGCAAGTTTCTCGTAAGTAAAGTTGGTAGAAGGTAGGTATCATATGCTGAATAAAATATAATCAATCGAGACATACACTTATGCATGTTAATGTGGACAAAGTTGCTATATCCAACAATTTTTTCCTCAATACTATCGTTGCAAAGCAATGAACTTTGATTAAATGTTTATAAATGGGTTAGGAGTGACAGCTTCCTTTTTGACGGAAGTTGAAGCAACGTAAATGGACTCTAAGTAAAAATTTTCCAGCCTCGAGAAACAACTTATTAAACTACCGTTAGAGTGCAATTAGTTTTGATGTTCATAAGTAAATTTAAGAGTTGTGAAAATTAGACGTCATTTTTCAACGAGTAATTTCTTGTAACGAAAACTGAGTTGCTGACAATAACAACGAAAAACCGCTGTCAAAGAAAGTCCATTAGCAGAACGTCTAACCGACACTTTTGTGATTGCTCTATCAGTTGGTCTTAATTAAAGCGATGACTGGATCTTGCGGCTCATTTCTACTGGATGCTTCACAGTTACAACGCTCGCAAGGCTTCCGCCTTAAAGTAGCTGCTTACTTGGTTTCGAAGATGAAGACGGAATTTATAAGATGCAAAAAAACTAAATGAAGACCCAAGAAGACGGAACTTAGGAATACGCTGTCAATTATTGATCATCTTATTAAAAACTGAAAGATAACTTTGGACAATTTTACTATTGGAAGTAACATTCATTTGAATTTCATACAATAACTGAAATAATAGAGCCAAAAATATATTCTCAAGGCTTGAATTAAAAGTAGATTTTGCGCAAATCACAATTCAAATGAAACATTAGCGGCAACAATAAAGGGAAATTTTATTTTCAATTGTGTACATGTAATATGAAAAAATCAGCGAAAATTTGACTGCATCGCTATTGGAAAATCTTAAGGGTTATACAAGCACGGTGAAACTATGACCATCTCCCTCAATACTTTACACTCCCCATGGCACTATATAATTTTCAGCCTTAACCTCAACTGTCTGATTTCTCTCTTCGACCTACGTGCCTCTACAAAAATTACCGATGCAAATTAAATTTTGCTTTCTCTATAGAGGGGCCACTAATTTCATTTTCAACCAATTTTTAAAGGCTTTCATCAAAGTCCTATTACCATACGTAAATTTCGCTCGATTTTTTCCGATTTCCCATGAGCCCATGCCATCTTCGATGGCTAATATTGAGCTGGAATGAGATGATTTGATTGAAAAAATATAATTAATAATCATTAAAAGTGAGAACCTTGATATTTATTTTGGAACTGAAATCAGGGGGTGCCACTTAGAATCTTAAAAGCCTGAAGAAGTTTCATGTATGTTCAAAATTTTTCTCATTATCAGTTAATTTATATTTAAATTAGTGTATATTTATGGATTGTAACAGCGTTCATTTCAAATTAGATTTATATTAGATTCACATGAAGTACTCTAATCCAAATTGCAGTTTTTACTAACAATTATGAGTCTACAATTAGTTAATTGCAGTTTTACAACAATAATGGAGGAGTCTACAATTAGTCAGCAACTTCGTGAATCTTTGCTGCTACATTTTTTGTTATGAATTGAAGCAGGTCGCGGTAAAAATAGTTATTTCTCCGTCAGGAAAAAATGTCCGACTTGATAAATAAATGTATGATAATCGCAACCGAAAACCGTATACAAATCGCAAATTTAATGCTAATTCGGCCGTGTGTCTTTGAATTCCATTATTTACGTCTTTTATCGCGCACGTTTTGTATTGCAATCGCCTCTATGGTTCCTTCCAGGCCAATACGTTGGCCATTTTAAGTAGCGCGAGGCGAATTTTTTATCCGAAAAATTCTCAGCGCTTTTGTCTAGCCTCGAGAACCATAAAACTTTAAGGAAAGTTTTTCTTGGCTGTTATAAAAGCTCATAGATCATCTTAAGCTCGATATGAGAAAGAAATTTCTTGGAAGCTGCGGCATGTTCTGACAGCCGCTCTCATAGGCGCGATTTTTTCGAGAAATTTTCGTAAAATTATGAGAAATGTGATTTTAAACAGACAGCCTTGCATCATTGATGTTACAACCTTATTAATGTAAGATAATGAAACCCAAAGACCGAGTACAAGCTGAATGAAAAAAAAACAAGCTAAAAATTATATATAATTCTTTTAAATGAGTTTCCCTCGCATAAATTATCGCAAATTACTAAAAACTTGCAACAATTTCATCGATAAAATCAAATAACGTTCTAGTTTTTCTAATTATTCTCACAACTGTTCGCTATTTGACCTTCGTTTATGAGAGCATAATACTGGAGTTCATCGAATGTAATGAACGCAATCGCCGTCATTACTGCCCTGCAAATTTTCCTTGAACACCAAAGCTGCTAAACGAGCGTCGAGAAGGCGGTGTGATGCAGCAAACAGAAGTGATGCAATCTAAAGGTGCACAGTGAGCATCAATACAAAGTGTCCTAACATCATTGACAAGTGATGTACTCAGCGAAAAATAGAATGTAGAGAATTCAATCCTTTATCAGTGATCGACTGTTTTAAAGTAGAAATTACCAAAATGCACACTATGGAATTTCTTGTGAGAAAATATTAGTCTGTCATAGATATAATATTAGACTGATGCTAGAGTAACTTGCTTTAAAAATTTCGTAATGATTTATAATAACTTTTTAGGTTACAATCAACATTGAACCGGCAAATAACAAGATCATATGGGATGTACATTTATAAGGTGAATGAGGAAATCTTTTGAAATTACTAAGGACGAACCCTATGAAAATAATATTTTCGGCAATAAATTTTGAATTTAATTAAAATAATGATTTAAATTTTGAAATTAATGTACTATGATCTTCAGGAATACAGATCATGACAAATTCTATCAGGAGACATTAGAGAATTATTCTATTGCAATGTAACCGAAACCGAATGTAAGTTTATTGCAGAAGTAACTTTTTCAGCATTGAGCAACAGATTTACTCAGGATACGTGGACGGTACTCTG